GTTAACCTCTAGTTAAGGTTGCTTCGTAATGAAAGGTAACCGAGATCAATGTTAAAGAATGGAGTTAAGGTTAACCTTAGTTAAGGTTGCTTCGTGAAAGGAGCCCGAGATCATAGTGAACTTTCATGTTCACTACACAAAGTCTTATTTTAGAATGACTATTGTACTTGTGAAGCTTAATGTTTTGGTACAAGTCACATAGATCAAACCATTTATTTACCACACACAACTTCATACAAAATAATTCTGTGAGACATCATTGGGATCTGCTCATTGTTTCAGTGACAACCGAATAAATATTCCACCAAGCAAAGCAAGTCTTAAATAACCCCCAGTGAACGGCTTCAATGCCGGGACATATATAATTTATATCACCATTACTAATAGTGACACGCCCCTGCAATATATATTGCATATCAATTCAGTTGTTAATATAATATACTGTATATAAGAAAAAAGAACATCATTCTTAACTGATACTTCTGAGACACTGGAAATCAGTTCTAACTTGAAAACTGATCGACCTGGCCCGTCCGGGACTCGGAAGGTCGGCCATGTTGGCAGGTTTACACCTTACACACAGCACCGTAATAGTTGTCACTACATGTGTAGATTGAGTGCTTGTGTGGTGATTGTGTACGGTGTAGTTGTCTCTCTCACTGGCTATGATGAGACTTGGGAATGTTGTAGCCCAGTCATACCAACATTTTAGTGCTTCCTTCCTGGGGAAAGGTATTGTTTACACCTGTGCTTTGGTGACGTCACCAGTCAACGACCTGTGTTCACTGGACGGTATCGAGGTGCTATTGATCTGATCATGGACAACTGCCGGTGTATTGATTCGCTTCCAATATTGATTCTTTCTAATGTCATTGAGTAAAATCCCAGACCTGATTATGTTACACAACAAGATCTGATTGATGTAGAAATATACTCTTGAGGGTGAAATTAGAGATTTTCGTAGATCAATGCCAGATGAAATAAATGTTTTGAAATCAGAAATGAAAGACATCAATGTGAAATGTATAAGGCTAGAGAATCGTGATTGTATGCTTGAGGATCATATAACATTATTGAAAATCAACAGGGATTAGTTTTTTCAAATACCCATATTTTATCAACGACATTAGATAAGAGTATCAAGTTGAAAAACATGTAGCCCTATTGAAACGGCATATGTCCATTTCTGCCGTTTCAGAAGGAGTACATGCGATTAGATGCCACGTGACCGGAAACTAGCGGCATGTGCATGTCAATATTATGATTATGTGAATGACCTAAACCATTCTTCAATATCATTCAATTATTTTCATCATGCACATATCAGAAGTATTGTAGGTTCAAAACATATTGATAGCCCCTCGTAATATGCCTAAATAAGACTTTTGATGATAATTTGATTACTATACCAGAGTTATGAGAATTTCAGTTATAATTTTGTAAAGCTGTAAATTGTCCAACTATGGAAGACTTTCAAGAGGTATCTACATGTTTGTTTTCGGAAATCAATGTCACAATACAGTTCAGAGATACCTATTGCAATACCAAATGTGTTTACGTTTAAACAAACATATTTTGAATACTGAACGATATATTTTACTTTTTATAGATAAGTTCCACAAGAAGGTTAAACGTTCTGGAAGAAAGTACAAACATGTCATCTTTTTGATCAACTAAATTTCAGCAGACACATTTTCATATAACAGGACTGCACCATTTACATTGTAAATTTAGATACGATCCTGTGGGCCGTGTCCACACGGAGCATCCGCGTACTTTCACACTGAGCATGACTTCTAAATGCACTCCGTCAAGCTCCGCGATCATCCGTGTACAATATGTAAGATCGGAATAACAGCCTTTGAAGACACATCGATCTATGGAGACTATAAAAATTATTTATTCAGTTACAAGGACAGACCTGATAGTCCGTGCAAAGCAACAATGTAAACACGACGAACGTCTAACGCTCATTCCCCTAACAACCCACCTCCTCGGCCTCACGTATACAATCTGAGAAAAAAAAGTAACCAGTAACGCGTTACCACGATGGCATTAACGGAAGCGTCTAGATGGACGCCGCCATTTTGAACGGAATCTCGCGCGATCTCGTTAAACAAACTTTTGACACTTCACAAATAGAAATGGATTTGTCAGTTGTTGTTCCAAAAAGCAATTTAAAGTGTTCTCGACCATTTTTAGAAGTTAGAATTAACAAAAGAGTCCAAGTTTAACATTCAACAGAACAAACCCCGTCGAACATCTGGTTAGATGGTCACCGTATTTCTATCAATTTTATGGCATTGACGGAACTATTTCTATTATGAAGGTAAACTGGATGCAGGGCAAAGCGCCAGTAGTGTTCGTGTTTTGAAATTCAATCAATCTTATGATAAAATCAACTGAGATGTTTAGTTGCTTTTGGTCTTGCGTTTGCTCATGGAATCTTCAAATTAGAGATTATCATTGTCAGCGCTCATTGCACAGGTTATTGTTTCCAACAACAGCTTCTCTGTGCTCCATGAAAACAATTTCTTAAACGTCATCACAGTTTACACTCATTAACACTGGTAATACTGGAGCAAGATATGTATGGCCTTCTCTGAGTCCTCTGCACATACCTTTTCGAATCCACACAAGACATACTGACGTCTTTTGTGAAAACGGTCGCCTGTTGTAAATCGTTCAAGCTTTGTGAATACTGTCAATCAGAACTTCCTGGTCATTTGCAAAATATATTCGTCAGCGGGCACATCAATGTCCTGTGTGAACCATGAGAACTCTTTTCCTCAGCTATGTTCATGCTGTTGATCCCTGGATTGTCTGGTCCAGACTCAATTATTTACAGACCGCCGCCATATAGCTGGAATATTGCTGGGTGTGGCGTAAAACTAAACTCACTCACTTTTTTCGGCGCCAATGGTCACAAAACACCCAAATATGCTCAATTAATATGAGTTATTCCTCAACTCTTCACAACAACTACAATAAAATTATGCAATGATCGTCAACGGTGCACAGTAATTTCCAGTACGCTTCATGAATTAAACCATTTCCTTAGTATCAACGGATATATTGCCTGCTTCCACTAAACTTAAAATAAACACTGATAAAGGTAAGATAATTGTGTCTAGAAAGGCTTGACGACGCGGCAATTATGAACGTTTCAGTTTAGATGGTTTATCTCTTGGCATTGTACACATATAAATATCTTGGTATGCATTTGTCATCATCTGGAAGCATATGTTTATCATTCAAAAGATTTTATCGGGTACAAGCGTTTCGTCACGCCGAAAGCTTTGATTCCCCAAATTTACAAAGTGTGAATCCATATGTTTAACAATTTGTCAATAGATGTGCTATTAAACCTTTTCGATGTTAAGATATTACCTATATTGACGTATGCTGACGTATATCTCAAGATATTCTTAATGTACACGATAAATTCTTAAAGGAAATATAACATCTTCCAAGAACAGTTCCAAATATTTTAGCTTGTGGTGAAATAGGACGTTATTCTCTGAAAGTAAATTAATTTGTAAGAAATATCAGCTTCTGGGTACGGTTTAACAAAAAGAAAATATAATTTTATCAAATGCTTATCTTTATCAATATAGACTAATAGCAATTGGGGCGTTGCAAGTAAAACAGCTATTAGAAACGTATGGCTTTGGATATGTATGGAAAAACAACTAGATCTCGACTTCTCATCTTTTATAGGAACTTATAGAATTAGATGCATTGACATAGATATAGATACATAAACCTGGTTGACACATATTCATTCTTACCCTAAACTGAATTTATATTATGACATTAAACTTTCATTTAAGAGAGATGTATTTAACTTGCCTGGATGTACCAGCTTATCGTAACGCTTTGAGTATATTTCGTTGTTCAGGCCATCAGTTAATGATAGAGTCTGGAACAATATCTGCTCTGACAAGAAATTCTAGATTATGTCCATTTTGTGTTATACCTGTAATTGAGACAGAATATCACATATGTTTGGAATGTCCCTGTTACTATAATCTCAGACATACAATTTTGCCTGAGTTCTATTGTGCTCATCCTTCTTATGATAAACTGGTATTACTTTGCACATCACAGAATTTAGGTATTTTAAATGGATTAGCGAAGTGTTTGTTCCTAGCATTTAAACAACGTAACAATTATTTTTTAACAAAACTTGTACCAACCTTTAAGTGTATGTGTATTGACCTTCTACAGTGTTATGGCCCTCCAGATTTCCATGCTATGACTTATGTAACTGTATAATGGGCCTGTGGCCCCTTTATCGAATAAACCAATTATATACCATGCTTCCCGAAAAACTCTTTTACAGAATGAGCGGACCACACATATATCCTGAGTATTTCAAGAAATTTGTTGTCTCAACTAACACCACGTTCCACTTTGTTAAATAACAATCCAGTATTTGTGTTTCAATCTTATCACAAGTGACCAGGGCACCTGCTGGTATTTCTTATGTGGTTATTGAAAACATACCTGAAGCACCTGTTACCTCATCATAAATTATCATAATTAATGTACCAATATTGGGCATTGCACTGGGAATGTAAGCAGACATGTGCGTGCTGGAGGTGTAGAATTACGCCGCGGCATCCGACGTCAAGAGCGATAAAGGACATAGCATGGTATCAATGCTCTTCCATTAATATTCTGTATCAGTTTAACTAGTCTGTCATATAGACAAAACAAAAATTCATATCTCCAACACAATAAATGCAAATCGGGAATATGTGGCAAGTCTATCACGGTGTCTTGAAAATGAAGAACGTCTCTGGGCTCCTTTGAAATATTTTTTTTATGAATATCATTTAGGAACCGTTTTTTCTATGTGTTCATTTCAGAGACTAGATGTTAGAGGCTAACATGATTGTCTATTGAAAATATATATTTTGAAAGCCGAGTTCGCGTTCGTTGTTCGGTTCTGACTGTGTCACTGTGCATGATCATAATACTCGTGATAATTCCAGGTGTTGGTGAAACAGTGAGCGGATCCTGACCCTCCAGTGCCACTCGACACAAACACATGCAAAGGCAAGGCTATTGGTGAGTAGAATAAACATAGGAAGATACAGATCAAGTCAAAATTTGAGTCTGACATATTTTTTGTCAATGATTCGTTTCATTATGTCCTCCGCACGTCTACCATATTTTTGAAAGCATAAACGAGGCCTTGAATGTTGTAACCTTGATCAAACAACCTCTGAACAAGAGTTGTGTGATACTCTTTACAATCTGGGTAAAGCACATACCCCTTGTGCATTGATCCCAACGTGTGGAACTCACGCGGTACGAGTACCTATTTTCTAGTTCAAGTGAGTAAATCAGTGGAAGGGAACTGGCTATTTGATGGTTACTGAACGATATCAAGTTTCAAGAGTCAAATTACCTTGCTTGGTTTTCCCAATCTGATAAGAAATTTCGATCTATATGCCTAAGGGGACAGGAGCACTCTTGGCGAAAATGGGGACACTCTTGGTTCGCATGGGCGTGTCTGCTTCATACATAACTGTCGTACCCCAGCGATATACAGATCTTGTCAGCGAGGTAGTCCAGCATTTCACATATTGCTATCTCAATAATCATCACTTGGCCTTTGATCTCACGTTTGACAAATGGCCTCTTACAGGTGAACACACACACACGTCACTTTATCTGTGGTCCCCGTGTTGGTGTCAAAAAGCTCCATGGATCAAGGAACATGTGTGTCACGCCTGTCCCATGCGCGTAGCAAGCCAATGTTTTCTTGTAAGCCCGACAGGATGCCAAGCTTTATTTTGATAGTAGTTAGGGCTTGCCCAACCTTCATGGTGATCTTTAGCAAAATACATGTGTAAGCCCGGGTTGTTGTCTTTTTATAATGGTAGCTACGCCCCTGTGTCCCACATATATAGGAGTATATCTATGTTGAGTGTCAGGTTCGCGTGAATCGATGTCAGGTCAAGGCAACGCCATGACAGTGTCTGACCTTCACCTTCACGCTCTGATAATTACCTAACATTTAACTGCTTAGCCGATGTGTAATGAGCACGAGTAATTGATAGCATGAAATTATCACATCTGTCAAGATGTTTCTTCTCCACTTATATATTCAAATTCCGCAACAAAGCAAAAACATCTGTGGGGCATATACTGTGTTATTGAAGTGTAAATTTTATAGTTTATGTTTTAAGTTTATTTATTTTAAAAGACTGTGATTTATGCATGAAAAGACACTTTTACATAGACAGACACATTTCTAAATCTGAGTGAGAACTGCAACACAAACTATTGTAAGATATCTGTATATGATGCATCAAGTACACTAGGTTGCTATATTTCATACCCGTGGAGATCCGGGTTAGAATTGGTCTTCAGTACCATGCTTGTCTTAGAAGGCGACTAACGGGATCAGGTGGTCAGGCTCGCTGGCTTGGTTGACACATGTCATCGCATCCCAATTGCGAAGGTCAGTGCTCACTGAATTGTCTGGTCCAGACTCGATTATTTACAGACCGCCGCCATATAGCTGGAATATGTTGCTGAGTGCGGCGTTAAACAACAAACCAAACATCCAATGCTATATTTGAACACAATTACTCAGCAACCGCATCATGCAGAAGCTCAGATGGCACACATATTCAACATTGAATTACTTGAAGCGACAACTGCTGAAAGCCCGTGCTTGATACTATTATTGATTTACAATAACACGTTGCTATACTATTCAGATATGTAGGGGATATGTTAATAGCAAGTACATGTATTAGGAAAGCATGTTCATGTACGTACCGCCAAAACGCATCTAGAACCAGCTGATGTTGATAATAAGCACCCAATGAAAGAATGTTCATGTCTGTAAAACATACCGCCAAAACGCATCCTGTAGTTGCACGTGCTGCCCTTTGTAGCAAGACAGGTGCTTAGGGTGTCATTACTGATTTTGAAACTTTCAAGGAAGGTCGACTACCTCTGTGGGCCATTATTTAAACTCTGTTGATTTATTGATTTCATACTCCGCCCCGTCGAAGTGAATAGCTTCAAAAGTGCTGATGCGACATAAAGGAAAATCCACTCACTCACTCATTAAACTGTCATCCTTCAAGATCGATGACGGTCATCTACTTTCATATTTCACTACCGCTTATAATAATCCATATTCGTAATATACTCATGCCAATAATGGTTGTCACCCCCTCCCCACCCCAACCCCCACACACACCTCACAACCCCACCCACACCCCTCTCCAATTAAAAAAATTGAAGGGGGTGACAACCATTATTGGCATGAGTATATTATGAAACTATAACTAAAGACAAATCTCTTGCAGTTTTGAACAGTTTTAATCGAGTGTTTCCTTTCCTTCCGGGCCCGTGAAGATCCAACGTCGTCATATGAGCGAAATATTCTCAAGCACGACGTTAAACCCAATTTCACCTCACCTCACCGTGAAGATCCGGGTTAGAATTGGTCTTCAGGAACCCATGCTTGTCACAAGAGGCGACTTACGGGATCGGATGGTCAGGCTGGCTGACTTGGTTGACACATGTCATCGTATCCCAATTCCGTAGGTCGATGCTCATGATGTTGATCACTGGATTGTCTGATACGGACACTCTACTTTGCATAACAGCTCGGGTGACTCTGCTACATAGATGGTACATCAGACCGTATTTTATCCCTCGAGAGAAGGATACAACGTATTTATCTTACCGCCATGTTTCATTTGTATTCATGTTTTTAAATTAGACACCGTTATATTATCCCTTACCGACAGGTCGAGAAATTTGAGATTTGAAATGTCAGCCGCGAAGGGAAGAAATATTGACTGTACATAGATGTATTGAATTAAGTAAAGTGTGGTGTTATATCAGAGATTTGTAAATGATAAAGAATTGAGTTTTCTCGCATTTTTCGTTTCATAAACAACAAACAGCAACATAGAACCTTGATAAAATATGTATTGATAGTATAACCACAAGTCATACAAGTTGATATGCAGAAGTAACAGTTTTAAAAACTCAAATAATAGTAACACTGGCTAATATGAAAGCCCCATTCAGTCAAAGGATTCAAACATTCCTTCTGTGTTCAGTATTCTCAAGAGAAGACAACAACAATAACAAACATCAGCTGATTGGTCAGCTGACACTATGTGACTTGGAGCGTTCCTTTTCGTACTTATCCGTGGAGGTCCGGGTTAGAATATTGATCTTCAGAAACCCATGCTTGTGGTAAGAGGCGACTACCGGGATCGGGTGGTCAGGCTCGCTGACTTGGTTGACACATGTCATCGGTTCCCAATTGCGCAGATCGATGCTCATGATGTTGATCACTGGATTGTCTTGTCCAGACTCGATTATTTACAGACCGCCGCCATATAGGTGGAATATTGCAGAGTGCGGCGTAAAACTAAACTCACTCACTCACTCACTCCTTTTCGTTCTATGACATTAACGTTCTGAATGGTGCAGTTCTGGAACTGTGACGACGTGTGGTTCATTTTCACATTAGGCTTGATTGTTTAGTACTGACAAGTCGCAGAACAACTCGTTCAGATCCAGATCCTCTATGAAAGCAAGCTGTTTGTCTTCCTGGAGAGTACCCTGAGTTATCGGCAACAATGACTTCTCCCCCGACCTTGAAATTGTGGCGGCTTTGGCGGTATTTGTGAGCGAAGTCGGCTCGAAAGCTGGATTTGAAGGACGCATCCCAGAGGATAAAGCGTGGCTCATTTGCATTTTTTTCTCGGTTAGATGCACGCTGATAAGCAGCAAGCGAACTAACGCTTTTATGACCAGAGACGCTCATGATCTGTGCACGTGCCGATTGAGGATAGTCCCCGTCGCCCTGATGAAGTTGTTACACCTGGAAAAGCCCAAAAAGCTTAAAGGCGGACAAAGGCAAGTTGGATGTGGCGCGGCCAATCAAATTGCGTTTGGGTCTCACGTGGTAAATGTTTACATACAAGCCCAAAACTTGGCTTTGTCTGCTTCAAAGAAATCACGCCATGATTTTTAACGGGAGAAAACGGAGCGTTTCGTGCCTCATTATCTCATTATTTCAATAAAAGATCGTGACAACTTTCTTTTCTCATGCGAAAAAAGTTGTAATACGACTGCTCAGCTTCAATTTCAAGTTCTTTAAAGGGACACTGAACCAGAGAAATGCCCCGGAACGGGTTGTTGCTTTTGATATTGTTTTGCGCCCGCAACTACCCGGATGATATCCCAGAATTCTTGACTGGGTTGCGATCTCTGCTGCGCCACCCGCAAGCGCAATTGGTAGTATAAGTGTAATATGTATATTGTATATCCTTTCATTGATCAACAAAGATGAAATCTTTTTCACTCATTAATATTTCCATCTGCATTATCATAAAAAATGAACACAGTTTTAAATTCATACCCACACCCTCAGAGTCAGGCACCACACAAAGTCAGCTGCCTAACCAGCTCAGCCACCGCGGCTTCCACACGGAAGATTAACGTCACGAATCAATCAACGTGTTATTGGTTAATCCTTTGATCGATAATTCCTCTTGTTACACTTCCATGTGCATATTATATAACATGTAATACATTTGCCACATCAAGACTTAATTAATTGTGTTTAGTATTTACTCCAGACACGAGATATGCTTAATGGGAACCGTTGAAGGGTAATGCCTGTTATAAATTCATTAACTGACCAGCAAGTGAATGATGACAAACAGGTGTAGATATATATCAACAAACAGGTGTAGATATATATAAAAAAACAGGTGTAGATATATATCAACAAACAGGTGTAGATATATATCAACAAACACGTGTAGATATATATCAACAAAAAGGTGTAGATATACATGTATATCAATAAACAGGTGTAGATATATCTCAACAAACACGTGTAGATATATATCAATAAACAGATGTAGATATATATCAACAAACATGGGTCACAACTAGGGAGTAGGGAGTAGTAATTGTTGTATTACATGAAAATTTTATTCCCTAAAAATACTGTGGTGTCCACGCTGTTTTGAGGATATGTACTTCATTGTTGCATAAGAAATACATGTAAA